GAGCTGAGTGGCCTGTGGTGGGGACTGAGGACAGCACTGAGCTGAGTGGCCTGTGGTGGGGACTGAGGACAGCGCTGAGCCTGTGTGGCCTGTGGCGGGGAACTGTTGTCACTGTCCCCACCCCCTCTGTGTTCCAGTGTTTCCTGTCCCTGAGTATCATCGTCTTCATGGAAATCACAGTGGCCACGGCCATCCTCACCTTCTTCCCAATTGTAAGTACAGGGAGGCTCGGGCTCTGCTTCCAGAAGCAACAGAGCCTGCCCAGAGGCAGCTCCCCACCACCACTGGGCCAGGGTGACATGGCTCCTGGGGTGGTGCCTCCACAGAGGCGCGGAGAGCTGAGCCACCGGGCAACCCACAGGGTTAATGCATACCCCACCCCTGCCTCCTGCCTCAGAACGAGCCCTGCTGGTGAAGGGCATTGACCAAAAGGTTGGAGGTTTGAATCCACTATCCTACCTCTCAAGGAGAAAAGTGGATAGTCTCCTCTTCTTAGATTTTACAGCCTCAGAAATAGAAGGATCTTCATGAACTGTAGATGCCACAGGAGTTCTATTTGCTTTGTGGGTTTTTTTTTTAATTTTATTTCATTATTTTTTGTGTGTACCGTCAAATCAGATCTGACTGATACAGGAGGAGATTGTTCCTCCTTCTCCAGCAGAGCATCTGGTGGATTTGAACCGTGCATCTCTAAGATTGCAGTTGCAGCTTCTTGCCACTAGGCCACCAGAGCTCGCCTTGCTTTGATTTTAGAATCAGAAGTGGGGTAGGGGGTTAAGGGGGAGAGGGCTGGGTGTAGGAGCTCCAAAGAGTTAACATGCTCGGCTGCAAACAGGAAGGTGGGTGGTTTGGATCCACCAGAAGACATGTCAGAAGAAAGGCCTGGTGAGGTAATCCCCAAAGCTAAGCCACTGAGAACTCTGGGGAGACCCCCTGACATCCAGGGGGTCACCGCCAGGTCCAGGAAGGGGAGCAGAAGGAACAGTAATGAGAAAAGCTTCTTGTGGTTTTGCACTCACTCCTTAAGGAGGACTGTTTGGCATAAAAACGTTGAAATGGCAAAAACACAGGTGCCTTGTCCCAATAGCCTCTGGGAACTCTCCAGACACGCAGGTGACACGGGTGACGTTGCCAGGCAGGCCAGTCTTGTTGCTGAGTCCTGGCCAGCACCGGGCCGGTTAGATGGCAACAGCCCATGGCGCCAGCCAGGAAGGAGGCGGCTCTGGCACGAGGGCCAGTGGCCGGGACGCGGGAGCCTCTGGCAGTGCCTGTGTTCCCGCGGAGGCCAGGATTCAGAGGCACGTGGTTGACCGAGCAGCAGTTCCACCAGGAAGCACTTGAGAGGGAGTGAGGCCGGGAAGGGAAGGCATGAGAGGGGCCCCTTGTTTTGTGCTTGTCCAGTCAGAACCGACCCATCAGTGAGTTTTCAGAAGGAGCAAATGGGAGGAGATTGCCCATCCTTCCCCAGCACAGCTGCTGGTGGATTTGAACTGCATGCCTCTGGGATTGCAGCACAGCTTCTTATCGCTAGGCCATCAACTCTCCCTGTGGGTCCTGTAGGATGCAGTCCTCAGGCATCACACCACCACCCCTCCTGGATCAGGAAGCTGGTATTGATCCGCTAACTCCGAGCAGCCTTGATCTCTGCCTGCTCCCCAGGTGGCTGAGAGGCCGTCCCAGGGGACAGACAGAAGCCAGGCCGGTGTGCACAGGATGGGACCACCCACTGTGGTTGTTACATGAGGAAAGCAAGACGCCCAGCAATGAGGAAAATTAATCAGCGTTGAATTGCTTACAGCTCGTGACAGACCCACGCATGTCAGTCAAACTGTGCTCTGTGGGGTTTTCTATCGCTGGTTTTTCAATGGATTGCCAGGCCTCTCTTCCCAGACCTCTGCGTGAACTCAAACCATCAGCTTTTCCATAACACCGCAGTGTGTTAACCCTGTCAGCTCCACAATCAGAAGTCAGGAAATCAAAAGGCAAATTGCACTGCTGTCAGGGACCTCTCTCCAGAGTACTGAAAAGCAATGATGTCAGTCTAGAGACTAAGGTGCATCTAATCTAGGCCAGGATGACAGAAGAAGAATTGATACCTTTGAGCTGTGGTGCTAGAGAAGAGTTTTGAACATACAATGGACCGCCAAGAAAACAAATAGGTCTGTCTTGGAGAGAGTGAAACCGAGTTTCTCCTTGGAGAGCTAGGATTTTGAAGCTCCGTCTCACATACTTTGGGCACGTGGTCAGGAGGGACCAGTCCTAGAGAAGGACATCATGCTCGGAAAGGTGAAGGGACAGTGCGGGAGAGGAAGACCCCGGATGAGATGGATTGATAACTGGAGCAATGAGGGTTGGTGTGTTGGAATTAATGAGACTGGCTCAGGACAAGGCAGGGTTCAGAGCTGATGTACATAGCGTCACTATGAGTCACAGGCAACTCAACAGCACAGAACAACAAGACCACCCCAGGGCTCTGCAATGAGTTGCTTTGTAACATCAAGTCAGAACTGCCTCATAGCTGACCCTCCACCTCCGGTCAGTTTTCAGAGGCAGGCAATTGCATGAGAAGAGATTCCCTATCTTTCTCTTATGAAGCAACTGGTAGATTCAAACGGTGTGCCTCAAAGCAATGAAAGTACCATATCTTTTGCTCAAATAATCACCCCAAAACAAAGCCACACTGATTCTCACATTCTGTTTACAAGGCTGTAACTCTTTCTTTCTCAGAGCAGCTGATGGGTTTGAACTCCTGATCTTTTGCTTAGCAGGCTGGCACAGAGCAACACACTATGCTGCCCGAGCTCCTTTGGCAAATAACACATCCACACCAACAACACACATGCACATGACATGTACAGCATCCGCAGGAGACCCAGGGACTCGACCATGAGTGTGCTACTTGCATAAAAACCACAGCATTACAAGACAAGGAGGGAGACGATGACGCTATGCTCTGCTTTGACACACAGACTCTCTTCGGGGACACAGGAAACGGTAACAGTCATAGTGGGAGTGGGAAGAACTTTTTGGCTGAGAGGAAAAGGTAGGAGGGAGATTTTTTTTTGTGGTCTATCCTTCTGTGCTTTTAAAAATGCAAACATGTGACTGTATTACCATTTTGGGGGGGAATTTTTTTTTAAGTCTTTATTTAAAAAAATAGAAAATTAAATTAGCCCCTTCTGTGTTGAGTCGGCGGCTGACGATGATATTCAGCTCCGTAATCAGGTCCCAGCCACACTGTGGGGGCAGCAGTGTGTGGGCGATCCCAAAGATCAAATGATTCAATCGTTTGTCATGGGGACGACCACATGCGCTCGACTCCAGAGACCCGCTGACGTCCTTGTCCCTGTCTCGGGGACCCTAGAGACCGGAGTTTGTCCTCGTGTCAAGCAGGCCTCCTGGGCTGAGAGTAAGACAAGGGACAGAAGCAGAAGGAGGAGGGTCCCAGCCTCCCAGCTTTCCCACAAGGAATCTCAGCAAACAGGGATCCTTGTCTTTGAGCCCTGGCAGTGTTGTGGGTCAAAGTATTCAGCTACTGGTGGCCTGGTGGGGAGGCGCTGTGCTGCCATTCCAAAGGCAAGTGGTTCTAATCCACCCACTGCAGGAGGAAGACAGGCAATCCTCTCTTGTGCGATTTACTGCCTCTGAAAACCCACTGGAAGGCCAGCTATGAATTGGCTCTGATTCGATGGCACACAATAACTAACCTAAAGGTCAGTGGTTGGAATCCACCAGCTGCTCCTTGGGTGAAAGATGCCAATCGGCTTCTATAAAAATATACAGATTTTGCTGTCAAGTTTCACTGTGTATGTAAAAGACCAGAAGTGGATGGAGAGAAATAACAAAAAGGAACCAGAGTGCGACTTCGGCTATTAGGTCTTGAGCTTACGTCTAGATTCCTGGGAACAACAACAGATACAACTATACTAGAAGCTGATGCCATTCTCTTAGGACTCCACAACAGTAAAGACCTCGGTCAGAAGAGGAGCCTCATGAAGAGGAAGTGAACTTGACTTAGTGCTTTTGCATCCTTTGTTAAACTCTGATATTTAATTAGAGTTTAATAAGAAAGTTGTGAATAAATGATTAGAAGAAGATATGTTGTTGTTGTTGTTGTTTGATGCCATCGAGTCATAGACGACTCATAGCGACCCTATGAATGAATGGCCTGAGCACTGTTCGTACATAGAGTTTCCGGAGGCAAGCCATTTCGGAAGTGGATGCCGCTCCTGCTTCCAGAGAAGAAGATATACAATAAAAAAAATATTTATAGTCTTGGAAACCCAGTTCTGCTCTTTCTCACAGGGTCTCTGTGAGCAGAATTGATGAGGGGGCAGTTGTTGTTGAGTGTTGACTCCAGTGCATAGTAACCCTAAGAAATGGAACCTTGGTCCACGCCACGCCGTCTTCACAATCCCTGCCGCACTTAAGCCCATTTTTGCAGTCACTCTGTCAACGGTGTCTCTCTGGAGACTAAGGTGCACCTGATACAGGCCATGGTCTTTGCAATGACTTATTATGCATCAGAGAGTTGGACAATGACTAGGAAGGATAGAAGGAGAATTGATGCCTTTGAGCTGTGGTGCTGGAGAAGAGTATTGAATGTACCATGGACTGCCAAGAAAACAAACAGATTCATCCTGGAGAGGGTTAAACCAAGCTACTCCTTGGAGGCAAGGATTTTGAGGCTTCGTCTGACATACTTTAGGCATGTTGCAAGGAGGGACAGATCCTTGGAGAGGGACATCACGCTTGGGAGGGTGGAGGGACGGCGCAAGAGGGGAAGACCCTCTATGAGGTGGATTGATTCAGTGACTGGGGTAACATAACAACAACAACTGTCAATCCATCTCATTGAGGCTCCTCCTCTCTTCACTGACTTCCACCTGTCCAAGCATGACGCTTCTCCAAAGATTGACCGCTCCTGACAACACGCCCAAAATACATGAGATGAAGACTCAAAGTCTGTTTCTAAGGAGCACCTCTGGCTACACTTGTTCCCAAACACTGTGTGGTCTATTCAATGCCCCAACACCACAGTGCAGAGGCATCAAATCGTCCTCGGTCTCCCTTCTTCATTGTCCACCAGTGGCAGCTTGGCTGGGCTCTCGTCACCTGGGTGTCATTGAACTGCTTCCGGGTTCTTCCTGAAAGGTTCAGAGCATGGCCTTCGAGCACGTCCTCGAGACCCTGAAGACCAACTACAGAGAAGACAAGCCGGATGAGTACTCGTTGGAGTGGAGCTCTGCCATGACGAAGGTGAGGCCCCGTCTCGCGCCTGGTGTTTAGGACGAGCCAGGAGCCAGTTTCCAGGATCAGGATCCTGACCCAGGATCTGCTGTGGGATCGAGCCCAGGCTCTGGAGGGGCGGACACACGTGAACTGGCAGAGCAAGTCCACCTTTCCCTTACACCATCCTTGAGCTAATATTTATCAAAGCCTGTTCCCTGCCAGGTGCTGCTGTGCAGGGCGCTGGGGAGACAGACAACTGCTTAGAAATGTTGTCAACTCTTAGCATCCGGCAGGATGGTGGCACGGTGGTCACGTGCCTGGTTGCTAGCTGACTCATAGAATCCCTGCTAGGGCAGAGGTGACGGATGTTCTAGTTGGGAAATGGATGGTCATCAGGACGTCAGCCATGGTGACAGGATAGAGAAGGGAACCAGGAGGGCTCCTCGGAGGAGCTGGCCTTTGCATATGATCTGAGGAGGTGACGTGTGATCGTATTCAGGAAGGCGGAGAGAACAGCTGGCGCCAGGCCCTGAGGCAGGAATAAACGTGGCTTGTCTCATTCAGCAAAGCAGCCCTGTGCCTGGACCAGAATACACGAGGAGGGTGGGCTCAGGAGAAAGCAGAAATGGGGTTAGATTATGCAGGAGAGGATTGTGCTGTGTGGAAGAAAGACTGGACCACCTGCTTCTGTCACAATTACAGCCTTGAAACCCTGTGGGATAATTGTATCCTGTCCTGTGGGGTCATGAGGAGGAATTTTTTTTTCCAGTTCAGTGAAAGAGATTTTATTGAGGGCCCAGGATCATGGGGCTCAGAGAAGACCACCTGCCAGAGGCAAGGGAGCCAGTGAAGAGGGGGCTCTTAGTTGACCTTCTTCTTGGGGTGCAGGTTATTGGTGTGCCCACACTTCCTGCAGCAATTGGCATCTCAGGGATGCAGACGAGCGTAACACTTGGGGCAGATCATCTTGTCATGGTTATAGTTCTGGGTGAGCTGGTGCAAGGAAGGCTCAATAATGCCACCACGCAGACGCAGCACCAGATGCAGGGTGGACTCTTTCTGGATGTTGTAGTCTGAGAGTGTACAGCCGTCCTCTAGCTGTTTGCCCGCAAATATCAGATGCTGCTGGTCAAGGGATGCCCTCCTTGTCTTGGATTTTGGCTTTGACATTCTCAATGGTGTCACTGGGCTCAACCTCAAGAGTGATGGTCTTGCCAGTCAGGGTCTTCACAAAGATCTGCATCTTTGTGTCCACTCGGCCGCCTCGTTACTAGAAGGAATTCTTTGGTTTTAAGTGGCTCTTACAGCACTTAACAGAATGGAGAGAGACCAGTTGGCCTAGTGGACCGAAAGCAATGCTACCAAGCCAAAGGTGGATGACTGTAATCCACGGCCCTAAGGCCCTGTTTTAAATTGCTTTTGGTCAAACATTCTTCTAGGTCATATAGCCCTGGTCTGTCCACTTGCTGTACGGAGGTAACTTGTTATCGCTGTGAAGCTGAACACTGTGACACTGATGTGTCAGATGTGATAATGGTTACCCATGGTGGACAGTGTTTGGTGGAGCTCCCCAGTTGAAACAAGCTTGGAAGCAGGAGTGGCATCCACTCCCATAAATAGCTTGCCTCCAGAAACCCTATGAATCTGTAGAGAGGATGAAAGTCACGCAAGTGTCGAGGACTTTCGTTCACAGGGTCACCATGAATCATCTATGACTCACAACACTTAACAACAACAACCACCCCCGCCTAGTTAACCGGGAGATCACGTGATGAGTTCTGACCAATGAGCAGAAGGATGTCTGTGGATCCCAGGCACTCCAGGGCTCTCTCTTTTTTTTTTTTTTCCAGGGCTCTCTTTTGTTTCATGACAGCAGAGGGAAGATTCTAGATGGTGACCATGCCATCCCAAGTGACATCAGTAGCCAGAGTTCTCTTGTCCAGTCGTGATGGACGTGTAGGATGAGCAAGGTGTAAACCATTGAGATTGAGGAGCTCTTGGTTACATGTGTCCAAACCAGCTGATGCGAGGCTCGTTCAGAAAGGAGGGCCAGGGCAGGCCTTTGTGAGGAGAGGGGCCTGAATGCAACAAGGGCGGGAGCACACAGACAGATATTTCAGGCAAGAACGTTCCAGAAAGAAGGAAGAGATGGCATTAAATGGCCGTGAAGCTGCAGTGTGCTGAGTGTGTCTGAGGCAGGCAGACGAGATGGGCCAGCTGGAGCCCGGAGAGTGCAGGGACCCTCGTGAGCCTGAGAGAAGAGGCTGGGGAGGTGATGAGGGTGGGGAGGTGATGAGGGTGGGGAGGTGAGGAACAGAGAGCCAGCCTCAGGCCACACTCAGGAGGTGAGCATCTACCCCCGTGACGGGGGCATGGAGGGCCTGAGCCCCGCAGTTGTGTGTCACAAGGTATTGTAATATTGTAACTTCTATTCTTCTGACCCTTTCATCACTTGAAGGCCATCTCTAAGCGTTTCCTCTCCTCTCCCAGCTAACGTGCTGTGGGGTGAGGAACTACACAGATTTTTCTGGCTCCTCCTTTGAAACGGCGACAGGCCTCGCCTACCCCCAGAGCTGCTGTAAAGCAAGCATGAGGGTGCTCTGTGACGGGCGCAACGTGTCTGCCGCCATCATCCACCAGAAGGTAACTCCACACTCTCTCTTTTTATTTTTTTAATAAAATTTTTTATTTTAATTGACATTTTAATAAAAGCTTACAGAGTAGTTAGATTTTCAGGCCATCATCCACCAGAAGGTAACTCCACACTCTCTCTTTTTATTTTTTTAATAAAATTTTTTATTTTAATTGACATTTTAATAAAAGCTTACAGAGTAGTTAGATTTTCAGGCCATCATCCACCAGAAGGTAACTCCAAACTCTTTTTTTTTCTCTCTTTTTTTTTTAATAACATTTTTATTTTAATTGTCATTTTAACAAAAGTTTACAGAGAAGTTAGATTTTCATTCATTCATTGTTGCACATTTTACCCCCTCTAACTACAGACTCTCTTGTGTCACCTCAGTGGACCCTGAGGGGCTGGTGCCTTTGATTAAAGCTGCCTTTTTGGGGGGGAGGGGGCCCCAGCACAGGAGCCTGGGAGAAGGAGATGTCAGTTCTCACTGGCTGTTCAGCTTGTTTGGATGACTCAGTCCCAGGAGTTACCAACCCCACTGTACAGATAGGGAAACTGAGGCTAAGGGTAGGGACAAGACTAGTTCAGGGTCACATAACTTTGACAGCTGGGATTGGATTTCTTTTTCTAGGCTGGGATTTTTTTTTTTCTAAGCACTTAATTTTATAACATTGATTATCATTGATTAAGGTAATTGATTAATTATAATGTCTAATCAACCCATTATTGCTTTTTCCTTCACCCAATTTATCAATTTTTACTTCCCTCCTTTTCCTTTCTCATCCCTGTTACCCCTCCAAGATTGAGTCTGTGTTGACCGTATGTGATAAGAATGTAGGTAGCACGGGGATTGGCCATATCTGACCTCTACTAACTCCACAAAAGGAACTGTCCTCCATCAACACATCCACAGGACAAACCAGTTCCCATAAGGTCAGGCGTGGTCTCCCACACTCCAGCCCCTGCTTCTCTAATCCCAACACTGATCTTACTGCTTTACTGGGTCCAAAATCCATTGCGATGACCACACAGATCTCTTAGAACCCAAGTCATGGTTTTGGGATTTGTTAGAGAAGTTAACCAATTAGACAATTCAGGTTGGCTACATAGCTTCTCAAGTGTACAGTTCCTTGGTCCAGGCAGCTTCTTTAGGTATGCTCGAATGCCCTTTGACCTTTAACTTCATGGTTTAGGTCAGTGTTACAAAGTATCTTCCCTTGGTCCCCTAGCAAGCCTGGGAGAAAATCCCTGGCCCTGGCTCTGTGGGGCAGCAGTCCCAAGTCCCTCTGTCTCATGGCAGTCTCCACTCCTCTGCTGAGGTGGCCGCTGCTTTCATTAGAACCCGTTCTGACTGTCACAGGAATCTTTGACCCCGAGGAATTCCCTCCTTCCTCTTCCTTGCTGGTAGTGAGAGTCCCATCTTGGCTGCTAAATCTTCTCAGTTAAAGCGAACTAAATCCCATAATGATTCTTTTATACCCACCCTAGCCTCTCTCCCCAGGTAGGAGTCCTGTCCTACCTGGTGCCATCCTCACAATCTCTGACACACCCGAGCCTGTTGCTGCAGTCACTGTGTCAACCATCTAGCTGATTGTCACTGTGAAGTTTCCACCTGGACTGGGTTCAGATCTGTCATTCGTAGGGTCACTGAGTCATACTCAATACAATGGCACCAAACAACAATTTAAGTGGCGAAAAGTCAAAGTTGATTTGAACAGTAAACTATTTTTTAAAATTTTTATTATTTTGTGTGTGTGTGTGTGTGTGTACCGTCAAATCAGATCTGACTGGTACAGGAGGAGATTGTCCCTCCTTCTCCAGCAGAGCATCTGGTGGATTCGAACCGTGCACCTCTGAGATTGCAGCGCAGCTTCTTGCCACTAGGCCACCAGAGCTCTCTTGAACAGTAAACTCTTGACACCACACCTTTCTTGATCTTTTTTATAAAACAAGCCAGTGGAAAGAGGAGTCAAAGAGCCCCCCTGTTGTCTGTCACACGTGGTTAGACTAGGTTCAGAACCCAAACCTCCTTCAACGCAGAAACTGAAGCTACCAGCAGCCTCACTTGTGCCTCTTAGCCGACAGTCTAAAAAGGCTTTGTCCCCTTCCCTTCTCTTCCCTAAGTCTGAGAGGTGTGTGGATGGCCCAAGGGATATGGGTTGACAGGGACCCAGAGTCCACGAGCCCTTAACCAGCACCCATGTGTTTTCATCTTCAGGGGTGTTTCCCCAAGCTCATGAGAATAACCAAGATGCAGAGTCACATCCTGAGTGGGGGCTCGCTGGGTGCCATGGCAATACAGGTAAGGCACCCTGGGACACATCAACCTCTCCCATTGAGACACTCTTCTGGGTGCTGGGGACACAGGTGTGAACAAGGGAGGTGGTCCAAACCCCTAGAGAAGGGAATCAGAGAAGACTGCCTGGAAGAGGTGACTTTTGTGCAATATTCTGAGGAGGTAATGTGATCATATCTGTGAAGGAAGATAGAAGAGATGGTACAAAGATCCTGAGGTGCAGGAATAAATAAACAAGGCTTACTGAGTGGCATCCACTTCCTAAATAACGTGCCTCTAGAAATTAGGAACTTTGATAAATGTTGATAGTTGTAGAGAAGCTTCAGGCCTTTTGCTCATAGGGTTGCTATGAGTCATGCTCGACTCAAAGATAATCAACAGCAACACAACAACATTCAAGCGTAAGCCAGGAGATGCATTGCATTGGAAAAGTCTGCAGTCAGGGACCTCAACAAATTACTGAGGAGTAATGATGTCAGTATGAAAACCAAGATGTGTCTGAGTTGAGCCACGGTCTTTTCAATCACATCCTGTGCATCTGAGCACTGAACAATGAATCAAGATGACAGAGGAATTGATGCCTTTGAGCTGTGGTGTTGGGGAAGAGCACTGAATATCCACCCCATGAAAGGTCAAAAGAACAGAGATGTCTCAGAGAAAGTGCAACTGGAGTGCTCTTTGGTGATACAGATGGCCAAGCTTTATGTCACATACGTTAGCATGTTGTTAGGAGAGGTTATTCCTTGGAGAGGGAGATCATGCTTGGAAAAGTGGAGGGTAGATGAAAGAGAGGAAGACCCTCAACCAGGTGGATTGACACAGTGACTGCAGCAATGGTGAAAATGACATGTGATAGGACAGGGTTTAGAGCTGTTGTTCAAAGGGTTGCTATGAGTCATGCTTGACTTGATGGCACCTAACAACAACAATTCAAGATGCATCAAAGAAGTCCTCATGCCTAGAATAGAATGAGTGAGGAGGGTAAAAGTGGGAGAAGAAGGCAGAGAGTTGATGGGGACAGATTGTGCAGGATCTTATGAGAGATTAGACTTTTATTCTGAATATGATAAGAAACCATGAGAAGAGCTTAAACATTCATATTTCCTTTCACAAACCTTACTGAACACCTACTGTATGCCATGCGCTGTTGTTGGCACTAGGGACATAGAAATGAGCAAAACAGACCAAAATCTCTAGACTCAGGAACAGAATGATGTGTTAGGAAGACACATAACGTGGGGCAGAGGGAAAGAGAGGCCATTTCAAAGAGTGTGCTTTTCTTAGTGATGTAGCTAAGATCAAAGAATTGATTCCTTTGGATTATAGCAAAGAATGCAGAGTATACAGACCATGGACTTGCAGAAGAGCAAACCTTTTCATCTTGGAAGAAATGCAGCCAGCGTGCTTCCTAGAAGTGAGAATGGTGGAGGTCTGGTGGCCTAGTAGCAAGAAGCTGCACTGCAATCCCAGAGGTACATGGTTCGAACCCACCAGATGCTCTGCTGGAAAAGAGGGACAATCTCCTCCTGTACCAGTCAGATCTGATTTGATGGTACACACAGAGAAAATAATAACTTTAAAAAAAAAAGACGTGAGAATGCGAGACCTGCTTGGAGCTGTTACCAGGAGAGATCGGTCCCTGGAGAAGAAATCATACTTGGTAAAGCAGAAATTTCGTGAAAACAAAGAAGACCTTTAACAAGCTGGATTGGCACAGTGGCTGCAATGACAGGTTGAAGCACAGAAGCCTTGTTAGGTGCTTGTTCTATGGCATATGGGGCTGAGGCAAATCGATGGCACCTCACAACAACACAACAACTGCAAAGGGAGGGCAGGAGGAGGGCTGTAGGAGCTTCAGTCCTAATTCAGGCCAGGAACAAGGCTGCCTCACTTCAGGGATGTGTCCTCCACACCCAGCTAACGAGCCTGCCCTGCATTGACTGGGGGGACGAGTCCTGAGTGGGCAAATGCTAGGTCTCTGGGTACCAGTCCTTGTTTTATCATTCACTGGCTCCCTAACTGGGCGGCCAGGGCCTCAGCCACTGTCCTTTGTAAATGAAATTCCCAGTGTTTGTTGGGAGGCCTGGGAGAGGCCACGTCATCAGAGGCATGTGATGCCCTGCCTGCTGCAAGTGTGAACTGACTGTAGGAAGTTATTACATGAGTTTGAAAAGCATCCCGCCTGAGGCAGGACAGAGACTGAAAAGGCATCAGGTGATGAGTTCTCCATGCAGCAATGAAGAACCTTGAAGATCACTCACTGCGGTAACACTAGACCCTGTGTAAGGAAGGAATCTGCTCAGAGTCCAGTCCATAGGAGGTTTAGGGACACAAGGGCTAATCAATAAGCCAGCACTATAAATGGAAACCCTTTTTGCTTCTTACATTGGCCCTGATCTTCATACCACTCAGATTTGCAAAAGATGAAAGATTCCTCACCACTGGCCTGACTGGCCACATCATGATAGATGGTGAAGAGTTTGAGACTGTTAACAGCTTCAGTCTGCTTGGCTCCACAATCAACACTCTTAGCACCAGCAGCCAGAAAATCAAAAGAAGAATTGCACTTGGAAAGTCTGCTATCAGAGACCTCTCCAAAGTACTGAAGAGCAACGATGTCAGTCTGGAGACTAAGGTGCACCTGATCCGGGCCATAGTCTTTGCAATAACTTGCTATGCATCAGAAAGCTGGACAATGACTAGGGATGATAGAAGGAGAATTTATGCCTTTGAGCTTTGGTGCTGGAGAAGAATACTGAATATACCATGGACTGCTAGGAGAAAAAACAGGTTGGTCCTAGAGATGGTGAGACCAGGCTGGTCATTGGAGGCAAGGATTCTGAAGCTTCATCTGACTTTGGACATGTTGCAAATCAGGACCAGTCCTTGGAGAGGGAAGTTATGCTTAGGAGGGTGGAGGGACAGTGCAAGACAGGAAGACCCTGGTTGAGATGGATTGATTCAGTGACTGGGGCAATGGGGATAGGTGTGTCAGAGACAATGAGATTGGTACAGGATAGAGAAAAGTTTGGGGCTTGTGTACACAGGGTCATTATGAGTCACAAGCAACTCAATAGCACATAACAACAACAGGATGAAATATGGTTTGTGACTGGCAGAATAAGTGGAGCAATAAATATTGGCAAAAGATTGCCCAGTTTAGAAGCTTAAGACTTCTTTAAAAAAAAGAAAACTCTTCACATCAACCACTAAGCTAATCAAACAGAGCCGTAAGTGGGCACTTTGACTCCATAGAACAAAGGATATAAAGGTTATACAATTAGTCTAGAAAAGTCCTTGAACAAACAGCAGCAGCAACAAATAACTTTGAGACGTGTGGAGAGTGGACTTGATTTCCAGAATTGCTTCAATTATTTCAAATATCTAGTTTTCAACAACAAAAATTTACAAAGACAATAAAGAAAGAGGGAAAGATGGTCCCCGTTGTTGTTGTTGTTGTTGTTGCTAGGTGTCATCAAGTAGATTATACCTCATAGGGACCCTGTGTACAACAGATCACAAACTTGTTCAATCTTGTGCCATCCTCACAATCTCCACCAACCTCGAGCCCATTGTTACAGTCACTGTGTCAATACATAGCATTGAGGGTCTTCGTTATTGAGGGGAAAATGGGTCAGCAGGAACTTGTTCATGAAGAAGTCCAGGCATTGAGGAAAAGAAGGAAGAAGAAACATGTAACTGACGCTTTGAGCTCTGTGAACTGATAATAGACCAACATATGTACAATAGGAGTCCCAGAAGGAAGGGAGAGACAATGAGGGGGAAATCCTAATAAAGAATATTTGAATTAATGTTGTTGTTCCATGCCTTTGAGTCAGGTCTAACATGAAGAGATTCAATGACAACAGAACAAAACTCTATGCTACCATCACAATCTCTGCTGTGTTTAAGCCCACTGGTGCCATCACTATGTCACCCATCTCGTTGAAGGTGTTTCTCTTTTCAGGTGAGCCTCTACTTTTCCAAGAGTTCTGTTCTTCTCCAAGGACTGGGCCTCCTAAAAGCATGCCCAAAATACGTGAGACAAAGTCTCACCATTCTTGCTTCTAAGGAGCCCTCTAACTTCACTTCTTTCAAAACAGACACATTCACTCCTTTGGTATTCCACAGTATATGAAATATTTTTCTCCAGCACCACAATTCAGAGGCATCAATTCTTCTCCTGTCTTTATTCATTTGAATAAATAACAATTGCAAATTTCTCAAATTTTAGAAAAAATATTAATCCACATATTCAAGGAAGGAGTGCAATTAAATTCCAGGTAGGATAAATTTAATGAGATTCATATCTAGATATGTCATATAATCAAACTTTCAAATTACTAAAATCTAGGCATGAAAGAGAAAATATCATCACTGGTCTCACAGAAATAAGAAAGATTAAAAGGAAGTTCCATGAACATGTGTACATCAACAAACTTGGATTACCTAGATGTAACAGACAAAGTCATCAAAAAACTAGAAGCAATGAAACCATCACAAAAACTACACATCAGCATCTCTTTTAAATACAAATGAAGAAAACATCAACAAGATACTAGCCAACTAAATCTCAAAAAATTTAAACTTGTTGCCATTTAATCAGAACCAACTCAGAGCTGAACCACCAGTGGGTTTCCTCAAGGTTGTAAATCACATGGGATTCGCCCATCTTTCTCCCATGGAACTGCTGGTACATTTGAACCACCAGAAAGGTGCCCACGTTGGAGCTGCACCCTACAATCTACACCAGCAGAGCTCCCTAAACTGAATCAAGCAACTTAAGAAAAAGGAGTCTACAGTATGAACGAGTAAGATGTATTCTAGGAATGCCATGCATCTCCTTGATAGATAAGGAAAGAACAATGGAGAACGGAAAACAACAATATTATTTCATGATGCAGGCACTCAACTAACAGGGAATGGAAGGGAACTCTCTCAAACTGGTAAAAGGCATGGGGAGTGGGGACCCAACCCCACAGCTAAAATCATAGTTCACAATGAAATGCTATATACTTTCTCCATTAGACCAGGAGCAGGACCACCAGGATACGCACGCTTATCACTTCTATTTAGCATTCTACTCAGAGTTTTAGCAAGGGCAGGTTGTTGTTGTTATGTGCCGTCGAGTCATTTGTGACTCATAGAGACCCTATGTACAACAGCCCAAAACCCTGCTCTATCCTGTGCCAATCGCATTGCCTCTGACACACTCATCCTGATTACCCCAGTCACTGAATCAATCCATCTCATAGAGGGTCTTCCCCTCTTGCGCCGTCCCTCCACCCTCCCAAGCAGGATGTCCCTCTCCAAGGACCTGTCCCTCCTTGCAATATGCCCAAAGTATGTCAGACAAAGCCCCAGAATCCTTGCCTCCAAGGAGTTGCTTGGTTTAATCCTCTCCAGGATGAATCTGTTTGTTTTCCTAGTAGTCCAGGGCACATGCAATACTCTTCTCCAGCACCACAGCTCAATTCTCCTATCCTCCCTAGTCATTGTCCAACTCTCTGATCCATAACAAGTGATTGCAAAGACCATGGTCTGTATCAGGTGCACCTTAGTCTCCAAAGAGACACCGCAAGGGCAGGTAGGCAAGAGAAAATAAAGCATATAGACTGGGAGAGGATCATTCTCGCTCTTCATAGGTAACATGATCTTTTAAAAAAAATGCATGTGGCCTGAAAGTTTACAATTTATATTGGTTTTTCAGTCATTCGTACACCTTTTGTTTTATAACATTAATTGCAATTGATTAAGAAATTAATTGCCTGTCTGATCAACCCCTTGTATAGTTCCTTTCTCTTTTCCTACTTAAGAAGTGCCTATTGTTGTTTGTTGTTGTTGTGTGCTGTTGAGGTGTTTGCAACTCATAGCAACCTATGTACAACAGCTCTGAACCCTGCCCTGTCCTGAGCCAGTCTCACTGACTCCAACACACCTGCCCCCATTGTCCCCTGTATCGTGTCAATTCATCTCAAATGGGGTCTTCCTCTCCTGTGCTGTCCAACACTTCTGAGCATGATAACCTTCTCCAGGGACCAGAACCTCCTGGCCATGTACCTAAAAGTATGTGAAACCTAGCTTCAAAATACTTGTCTCCAGAAAGAAACTTGGTTTCACATAGAGTTAGACAATGACTAAGGAGGATAGAAGGAGAATTGATTCCTTTGAGCTGTAGTGCTGGAGTAGAGTATTGAGTGAACCCTGGACTGCAAGAAAACAAACAGATTCATCCTGGAGAGGGTTAAACCAGGCTGCTCCTTGGAGGCAAAGATTCTGAGGCTTTGTCTGACATACTTTGGACATGTTGTAAGGAGGGATAGGTCCTTGGAGAGGGATATCATGCTTGGGAGGGTGGAGGGACAGCGCAGGAGGGGAA